CAAAGAATGGCTGCTTCTTATCCCAAATTTCGTTGCGTAGCATGACAAGATATCATTTTTGGTGTGTATCAAACAGTCACAGCATCTTGCCCACATGAATAAACAGGTAGGAATTGATGTGTAACAGACTCGGTGTCTTGTGCTGAGACACGAGTAAAGCTGCTCAGATTGCTTTCAAGATGAGATTTATTCATTTGTGTGACGCAAAATACTAGGTGTGTTTTTGCAAAATGCTAGAAATAAATATGAATGCATGGAAAGATTAAAGGTGTCATTTTTGTTTAACGCAAAGATGATAAGTGTGCGTCACTAACTTAGAAGTCTCCAGATAGAAAGTACTACTTGTTAAGCCAATTGAGAGTTCTCCATAAAAAGTACTTTTTCGAAAAAAAGTATTTTCAAGCTGTTATTTGTGTATCAAATATTGCCCCGTTACAGTGTCGAGTCAGGATTAGCATAAACGTCACAGCTTAAGAATTAGAGTATGATTTAGCTAACAGCAAGTCTTTTTTATAGATATTCAGAGGCTCAATCGATCCCTTGATGCGAAAAGGCAAGAATAGCTTTAATATTGGTGACGCAAAAGAAGTCAAGTGTGCACTTGCTCAATTGGTCAGCTCGTCGATGTACAAGCGCTTGATGGTCATGTCTATTTGTTAAAGAAAAAATTACTGAGGTATTGTCACAACTGTGGCAATCATTTTGACTCGTAACGCAATCTTGCATCTTGTCAAATCGTGCACCTCACACGCCATATCGACAAAATTCGTTGCCTAGGCTTTGATGCTAGTTTTAAATTTAAATAACGAAATCACTCGAAAGACATTTGTAGAATCACGATTATTATACAAAGCAAGCCTCAATTCAAAATAAAAGTTGGGAATACGCCAGCTATTATTTGCACAGTAGCGCCATTACACTTGCAAACAAGACTAAGAAAGTTATCTCCATCGTAAATCCTCATTGCTTTCGATGATTTTGTCTTCCATGATCAAAACATGATGAGGCCAAACAGTGCAATCCAATTTCTCGTTGTCAAAAAGCACTAATTCGATTTGGAGACGATATCACTATGTTTTTCACAATACTTGCGAAAAATCAAGTACCAAAGTGTTTGCCACGGATTGTCGAAAATCGTTTTCTTGGGAGCACTTGATCTAGGAATGGTATCATGCTCTTCCCTAAAAATTTTCAATAACTGAACTGTCTGGTCGAACGTTAGACCTTCGAGAAGCTTCCAGATATTGTCAGAATGGGCATTTTTTGCAGCTTTTTCGATTGCAGCATGAATATTGCTAGCAATTTTAAGTTCACCTTCATGATTGTTGTCCAGCGGTTCGGTTACACTTTTCTCTTTGTGGTTCATCAACAAGTCTAGCTTGAATACGCTCGCGTCCAGCTCTATAGGTGTTAAAATGAGCTGAGCAGCTTCGGCAGCTTGAGCGCCTTTGAGCTCGTCGGTGGCGGGAATGCTTTTCTCGAATTGGGCGGCTATAGGAGCTAGGGTAGCTTGCGCGGCTGTAAGATCTTCGTAGACGCGAAAGGTCGTCGGATCCTGGGCAGCTTGAGCGCCTTGAAGCTCTTTGGTGGCATGAATGCTTTTCTTGGATTGGGCGGTACTAGGAGCTAGGGCGGCTTGGGCAGCTGCAAGCTCTTGGTAGGCGCGAGTAGTCTTCTTATATTGAGCAGTAATTGAAGCCAAGGCGACTTGAGCGTCTTGTAAAGCTTTGACAACAATAGTTTCGTGAGCCTTTGCAGTGACGCGAGCACTTTCAGCTTTGGCTTCGACTCGATTCAATTCATCTGAGATTAGATTAATTCCCGACTGGAAGTACCGGACTAGATTTCTACTGAAAGCTTCTTTGGCAAGGTGTGTGGCATAAGCTACGTAGGAGGTCTCATAATCATGGAGGGCTTCTTCAGCTTTGATAGCATCGCGATGTTGTTGGGCGCGGGTGCGAGCAGTGCTGGCTTCCGTCATAGAGATGGCGGCTTTTTCAGTTAAAATCCTTTCGTTTTCTTGGTCAGCTTTTAAAGTGCTAGAGGCCATTTTGGCCAAGCTGAGTACTCTAGATATTTCACGTAATTCATCTCGGGGACGTTGGTTAGCTTTATTGGCTATGCTGCGGGCAGTAGCGTAAGCTTTGTAGGCAATCTGATAATCTATGATGAATCTGTAATTTCTTGCAACAGCGTTGGCGAAATTTTTGTGGAAGATTTCGAGCTTTTGGTCTCTTAGAGCGGCAGGAGAACCTAAATATTCTCCTTTCATAATAATGTCACTTAACCCATCCAAATTGATACTGTTTTTCTCAGCCTTGTTTAATGACGAAAGTTCCTCAATGACGCTTTCACCTGCCTCCTTTAAAATGTCGGAAAGGTTCATGCGTTCTTCACCAGCCGCAGGGGTTGCCAATTGATCACCGCTCCCTTTAAGAGACCGTCTGGACAAAGTCTCGGCATCCGTCTCACCAGTTTGCAACACGTCATGAGTTTGCACATTCAAAGACTTAATTAAGACGGATGCAGCACTTGTGCGGGTGTTGGTTGCAATGAGGAGAGCAGTGGCTACGTAGAATGCGCCGCGCATGATAGGGGGTATGTTTTGCTGAAAAGTTTTAGCTTGTTAATTTATGGCTAACAGTCTGTGTTCCTACATAAGTTAATATCCTCTATATGTGTCTTCTGCTTAATCCGATAGTGTTTTCAGAAAAAGTGAAAAAGTACTCTCTCAAAATTATTCACTTCTGTACAAGAAAAGGTTAGAAAATACCTGAGTGGAAGAAAACAATGTAATATTGTACCCCGTTGAAACCTCAGTGGAAGAAAGCGATGTAATTATCTTACCTCGTTGCAACTTTCATCAAATTATTACATCATGGTCAAAACACTTAATTAAAAGGTAAAAAGCTCGAATGTCACCGTGATCGCCACTATCTTATGTTTGAGCAGTTGTGTTGTCTAAACGCTTTGGGTCAAGTGCCCCACTCCATAGTTTATAAGATTGTAACATTTCAAATCATACATTGTTGTAGCCACAAAAATACACAAAAATGAACAAACTTTTGTGACGAAAAATTGCAAATGGTCACAGACACGCATTCGGGTTTTATGAAATAGACGAGCTATATTCTTGCTAGCAACAATAAATTTTGCAAAATTATGGTTAATTGATCGTACTCACTCACTGCACTCACTGCATATGCGCCATATTACTGCGTACATTGCTGATAAAGACGAAAGCTTTTTTCGATGAAAGTTATCTCAGCCTTGCGTATTTTGAAAAATATACATTACGCGTCGCGTACAGATATTCACTCTCAATTTGATTAAATTCTAACACAGATTCTCGTACTGTGTGGATTCAATAAACTTGGTGCTGTGTAGCGACCCTAAGCGTGCGCCACAGCGCGATCCAAGACTTGAGTGCAATCTGACTTGTATCACAGGGTTGATTTAGAAAGATCATACGCGCGAATATGACCGAAAAACACTATCAAAAGACTTAAGACTATAATTTAGTTTCTTGATTTTTGTCAGAATTATATAAGGAAGGTTACACATTTGTAGGCGATCGGTAGAAAGCTCGCAATTCAATGTCTGACGAATATCAACGGCTGAATATATCTGGCACTGAACGTTAAGCACGTTCTGTAGTTTGCTCGTAGAAGGCTCGCCATATCCACCTCACCATCTCAAGTGACTGATTAATTTCAGAGCAAACTGCCTCAAATGCATCAATATCTGCGCATCAACGTGGACGACCTTGTATGAATAGGATGATATCTGTGTAAGTATTGATTTTTCGGAATCAATCAGCTGTCAGGTTTGTTAGTTACATTCATAATAGTAATGCAAATTATGACATGGGACTATCAGGGTAGTCCCTCAAATCTGATACGTTTGTTTTATCTGATCTATTTGCTGGGCCCACCACGTCCGTGTGGACCACATCAAGTAGACACAATGTTTTGGCTATCAATTGAGATGGAACTGATCCAGTGTCTGCTTGCCATTCATGCATCCACCACAAAATACTGCTACGTTGCTGGTGTACTTATTGTTGCTTTTTGTGTTCTTGTTAGAGCAACTAAATTTGGGTGACCTAATTGAGCGTGCCATAACTCCCACTGGCCTCCAAACTTTGTGTAATCCACGTAAAAGTTGATAGGCCTTGCCAAATTTCTTGCCAGGAGCTATTACTTCTGAGCTTTCAAAATAGTGCACAATGCTCCTTGAAATTAAATGTGCAGGCCGTGAGCAGCAAGACCTCCAACTGACAACTAGCCCTGCATCATTCAAATTGATTTGTGACCAACATCTTCCAGGCAAACCGAACCCGTTCCAACTACGCGCAGCCTCTTAACATCCGCAATTGTCACTTCAATTTTCTCATTCACGACAACATGTTCGCTCAGGTCTTCACAATGCGGGGTCAAAGGTGAAGTAGCTCCACTGTCGATCAATTAAGTCGTGGGTCGGTGCTCTCCAATCGCGAAGACCCCGTCTTCATCGCTTACATTATGGTTATCTGGGCAGTCCTGTTTCAGGTGTTCGATTTGACCGCACTCGCAACACTTGCCCTCAAATCCATAGCCTCTCTTTCCGCCATTGTTCTTGTGACCGTTGTATCCAGCCATGAACTTCCTTTGTTTGTTTCTTGGGTCGTATGAAGCGGCTTTCATCGCACGCTTCGTGATTTTTGTCCTGATACTAGAATTCCTTCAATGTTTCGCTTTTACCTCATTAAGCATGATGCTTTTCAAATTTTTAATGATTGATGAGATTAACTCGTACTCAGCCGGCAAGCTGCTAAGTAAAATCACTAGCTGCCGAGCATCATCAAGTGGGTCCCACGTGCCTGTAAACCCACAATAAGCTCTTCAAAAATATCAAAATGCTTTGCCATGGTCGCCCCATCGTCCGTGAAAACGACGGGTAATTGACACATGGTTGTGCATCGTGGTCTAATTGTAGAATTCCCGTAGGGTGTTCCAAGCCTGCACCGCCGTTGCTGCTGAGCGAATCTTTGTATGATGCTCAATAGCAGCGCCTTGTGCGATCAGGCTGAGCGTCTTCATGTCGAACTCACCCTTCGATGATCTCTGCCTCTGGTTTGACCGTTTACACATCCGCTAGTAGCCCCTTCCTTGTCAGCGTCATACGCATAGGAAACTCCCAGAGAAAATAGTTGTTACTTCCAAGGATTACTTCAGTACACTTAGCAGACCTAGGTGAGGCTTGAGATTCTTCTGTGGCTGTTAACTTGTTAAAATAGTGCGTCGAGTAGACGGAAATTTGTGGAGTGAAGATATCTATTTTATTTAGGTGCCTAATTCGCTACTTTGTGCTACGTCTCAGCCTACCCTTCTAGACCCTTCAAGAAGCTTCTTGGTGACATCATATGATGACGGCACACCCTTATCGTAAACATAGCCTGTAATCATTTAACGCCTCCAATCTTGTCCTTAAGCAATCAGTGGCGTGATCATGTAAGTGCAACTTCAACAGTCTTCAAACAGATTGTGCTAATTGTGAGCATTTCTGAAGCGATCAAGGCACCGGCAAACCGCATGCTCGTACCACATGATTCTGGATCGTATACAATGCTGGCCGGCTAGTCGGATCAAGCGCCACACACAACATTTTATACACATGTCCGTGGAGCGAATTATTGTTGCAAGTTTCCATTAGAATGAAAGAGAAATAAGCTTTGCTCAATTGTAAGTTATATTGTACACGGAAGACCATACGAAGTAGGTATATATTAGCTCTAAAATTTAAATCATTAAGAGCTTTTCCGGTAAAAAAGTGAGAATAGTTCATAATTAAGGCTCTTAATATTAAAAATCACAACGCATTAATTAAATATTGTAGTGATGTGACCATAATCTACACAAAAAATGCAAAAAACGAGATACCAAAGTGCAAGCCACGGGGTGTCAGCTTAATCGCTGAATAGTCTTTGAAGGATACAGCCGCTCACTGTTGAGTACATAGATTGTTAAAATGTTTGGCCTAACGTCAGATCATCAAAATTATTAACAACACTGCCACGAAGGGCATTTTCAGCAGCTTCCTCGATAGCATCATGAATGCTGTAAATGCTGTTTAATTTTCCCTGCAAAATTTGCCAAACGGGTGAAGAGATTCCTTTTAATGGTAACAAGTTAAGTATAGCTTCCCAGGCCCTCGACTGGTATTAGAAGCGCGTGCGGTCTTGGTTGTAACGCGTTCAATAGCAGCAATTCAGGTGTATCGGAAGGATCAAATGAGAATCAATTTGCAAATTTTATGATACCAAAATATATGTACGTGATTGGGCAAAGTCGTTAGCTTGTTCATGTTTATACAATAGATATATTGCGGTGTAATTTTTTTCACTGTACCACCCCAACTAATCAAATATCATCCACGTCGTTTCGGTAAGCTTTGTGAGCTACATGGGCATGACATGGCTTACACAGTGTACCTTTCAGCTTGATCAATTATTTTGATTGCCTGTGTGACATTTTTTGCATAAAGAGTGTTGATTGAAATTTTGCTCTTATGGCGATGGAAGAACCCGTCTAATTTCCTATCATAATCATGATATCCACTATTTTTATCGTCTTAAATGGCAACAAAGCCTTAACTGCACTTCTACGGGCCTGCTTAATCACTATAGCTAAGTGAAGCGTTGTCCATCAGCCGCAGAGCGTGCCAGCTGATTTCACAACGTCTCTATATTTGTATCACCGCTTATTTATATGTCATGATCTTGGACATTCAAGGCTTAATAACGTAGTTGTGCGGGTGCTTATCGCGACGAGGAAAGCAGTGGCCATGTGAAGTCAACCGCGCACGACGAGAGTGGGAGTTGGTGTAATTTACCGGTCTCCTTTTCGAGGTAATTAGGATCTGTATTTATGACGCTACGATGGTTAAGGCGAATAGATATATAATATAACACCCAGTTGAGCGTCGCTTGTTATCGTGGTTTTATACCATATAAACCAGCGTGATGTTTAAAAAACCCAAATCATTCGGTGTCCAATGGACAGCACACGATCTTTTCTTGCTTCAGATTTATCAGATTATTTTGCATGCACCACCAACTCTGCAGTGTAATAGTGCAGACTTCTATTCTTTTATTCGTTATATCTCGTCAAACTCAAAAAACTGTTTTGAAGTATTTGCTTGTAATCGTTATAATTTCGAGTTTGAGCCTAGTGCCCCACTCGTCAGTCTTGTGTTACATTCTCGTCGTCGTCAAATGACTTTGTTGCATCCGCAAGCGCTCAGTAAAGTAGTGCGCAATAACGTATTCTTTTTCTCGCTTTAGTTTCAAACGTATCGCATTCGCTCGAGCACAAGTGAGAGTTATCAAAAAGTAAAGAGTTTCTTTCAGTGTGTGATGCCTATCATGCAGCACAATGATTGGATGCCATTGTTTTCTGTTGACTACGTAGTTTGTTTGCCAGAACATCATAGGACGCGTAAGTTTAACAGTGCCTCAGCAGAAGTTTACATTGTGGGCTACCAGATATCTGCTTTTACTACAAATGGGGTCACAGAAACTCGTGATTCTGTCTTTTTACAAGGTCTTGAACGGCTCAGACATTCTTCTAACCTGAAATGCATACGCTACATCCAAAATTTAGGATCACGCAAAAGTGATTAGGTCTTTTCACCCGGTGCAAAATATCAAACACATAAGACGTACTGCGTAATGTGCGAAAGCGATAGAAAATGTCACGTCGAGGCTCT